CTCTGTTGGCGTGAAGCTATTCTGGACGAAACCACGAGCCACTGGGATTTTCGCTACGAATCGGATGAGATAAACTTACAAAGAAAGGAATAGCAACTTCATACAAACGCTGATTCAGAAAGTGTTTACTCTGACGATTGAAAAATCAACATCGATTTTTTCTTCCTTCAATCATTTTATATTTAGCGTGTTCGTTTATGCCAGCTTAATCTGACATAAAACGGTATAATTTCTGAATACGTTTTGAAATGACCGTTAGCGTAACAGTTCATCCTGCTTAATACGAACTGTTGTTTTAAAGCTCACACAAATTTGTACAAACAAGTTTTTGTATTTATGCATATGCTGGACATATCTAGATTAACATTTCAAGAGGTCCTGTCTGCATTTATCTATTAATTTCAGGATTCATTCGATATTCTAATTGAGTAACCACAGTTTTGCAAACATGCTTCATGCTATTTGTGCCAAATGGTTTAAAGAAAAAAATGTAATCTTCTTCTTTTTCTTCTTTGGCTATTATGCCCCAACTAGAAGTTTACGCTTGCTCTCAAATGAGGGGATTAGAGGCAACGGGGTGCAAGTGATTTTGATTTAATTTTTTTTTTTTTGATTTAAATTAAATTTATGTTGCATCTTGTTTTTGTTATTTACAAGAGAAAATAATAAACTTTTAGAACCGAGACTAGAAATAGGATCGTTTCCTTTGTGTAGTTAGACTTTTATTTTCATAGTGCTTTCTTTTCATCGATGGACTGTCAACTGCAGGGTCAGGATCCAAAACAATATGCTCAGTTATTTGTGTTCTCGCAGCAAACCAGATTAATCCAGAGTAACTATGAGAAATCTGAATACAAGAGGTACTCTAAGGAAATCTGACTTCCCCTCGGTAAGATCCATTAAAAATTTCACACGGAAGTGGGAAGTTGTCAAGCCACAAAATTTTGTATGGATCGTCACAGTTTCCAGACCCACCTCCCTCCTCCTTAAAATTTGAACATAAATAATGTTCTTTTTCAAACGTAATAATTAAATTTTATCGCATTGTAAAAAATGTTTCCATGAATATTTTTCCATAAACTGGAAATAAAGATACCGTCAGACTTTTGGAACAAATATATTTTCTTCAAAGCTAGCTAACAGATTCCAAATTGGTAACCATGATCTCAAACTTGGTATGAGCAGAAGCGAGAGAAGATCCCAATTCTACATTAATGGCGGCAAACTCCAACTCGTATTAACTTTTAATACCGGCCCTGTTAGGAAAATCTGCTAAATGTTTGCTTATGATTGTATTGATTTACACCAATGTCGATACCAAATCAAACTGACGTTGACCACTTGAAAGCTGGTTAATCCGAAAGGCGATTCACTTGTGTATTTTGGATTAATTTTGTGTAATAATGTATTATATTGTATTTTAATAGGAAAAGTTATTTTGTCTACATTAAAAAAAAACAAAAGTGTATTTTTCTTGAATGAATGTATTGAAATCAGTTATGGCGGTAAGCTCCAACCGGTACTATCCTCGGATTAAATCCCGATCCAGAGTGTAAGGTTGATTTGGTGTTGACGTCGGTGTTGATCAGTTCTACCTTAAACCAAAATTTGACAGATCTTCCAAACAGGGACGATATTAAAAGTTAATCCGAAACATATACTGGAACCGAGGACAACAACTCAAATATGTTGTTGTTTTGATATTATTTGACGTTTTGTCTCGTGTTCTGTTTGACAAATGCATTAATCACACGCTAACTATAAAATACTCAGTGATGAGTAAAATTACATGCAGTTTGATAAATTCTTGTATCACACATATTCCATTAATAAGCTCGTGAACGAGCTCATGAATTAGTAGGGTTACGGTATGTAATGTGGGTCTAGTCCTTTCATTCGGCCTATCACGCAAATAAATAATTAATTAAGGAATATTACACAAAAAATAAGGAAAATATTGATCACTGATGATTGATAAATGTGTACCACACACAAATCAATTTATATCACAACATTTCAATACATTTTCAGCTCTCGTAAGTAATAAAACTGGTTGAGAATATCACTCTGTTCGGAGTTTTTAGCCGCCATGACTTCTAAGGTTAAGATGGGAAGGTTGCACTGACGATCATCAAATGGCCTGATTATGGCATTTATTGAATGGAATTACCTGATAATACACACTAGACGTAAAACTCACAGTTACTGTTTGAATATTTTATGTTTATTTTAATTGTTTAACAACGTTTTCACAAGTAAATCATGGACCCAACTTTAGGGACACATTTCTTTTCTATGTTCCTAACTTTGGCCCATGAAATTCATTTGACAGCATATAGCAATAAGAGTAACGTCAACAATGTGGTTTGCATTTGGATGATAAGGAACGAACAGGAAGGGAGATTTTTTCTGCCAAATCTGTATAATGAACATCACAATGTTTTGATTTAGATATTCTGCGGTCGAAAGACGATAAGCGAAATTTTTAATTTTTAATTTTTAACTTGAGTGATTTAATGTAGTTTTCGTAAAATTTTCTCTAAGAAATGTTTTGAGGAATGAAGAGCATTAAGTTAACAGTGATAGTGATAAAAAAAAATACATCAGAAAACGTTACCAAGAGCGTTTTTTTGAGGATCAAACAAGATAGGACGAAGTTGCATCCATAAATAGACCCAATTTGGGGACAATAGACCCATATTACATACATTTCCCTCGTGAGTTATTGTCTTAAAAAAAGTAAGTTTTTCAACTTTTCGTGGTTCCTGATAGCAAACGACATGATAAGCATATCTAAGCATACCATTTAGCAGTAGAATATCGTTTGCAGGTAAATTAATTGATGAGTTATGATTAAAAACGTAATCTATGGCTGCATATTAGACCGAGGTTAGGGACGTATACCCTATGTGTTATGCACTCGGTTATCCATCGATGAACAATTTTTACTCATTTGTGGATTACAGTTACTGACTAATAGGCAATTTATTAATCATTTATGGTGGTGAGCTCCAACCGTTATTATCCTCGGATTAAATCCCGATCAAGAATGTCTGGCTGCTTTGATGTTGACATCAGAGTTGATCAACACGACTCTTAGAAGAAAAAAAATTGCAAATCATCCAAACAGGGACGGTATTAAAAGTTAATCCGAGTTGGAGCTTACCGTCATAATTGTGTTTTTCACAAAATGGAAGAAATCCTACACATGAATGGGTACTATAAAGTTACCAGACAGTGAAAGAACGTCAATAATATATTTTAATGCATTTTTTTTTTGTGATTTGAGCTCGCATTTGTCTGTGTTTGGCAGTTATATCGCATTTTTAGTATTTTTCTGTCAGTAGCGAATATTTGTGTATTTATTTTATTCGTCAAATATTTATGTATTTTTTTCGAATTTTACATTTTTATTGTTTTTTATTTATTTTGTAATGAGTAATGATGAATTTTTGTGCTTTTTTTTCACTTTCGTATTTTTGATTCAATAATCAAGAGCAGGGAATAGCCCTTCGGGAAAATCAGACTTGTGAAAATCGATTTGTTTTTTTCTTGTTTGTAATCACCCAATGATGCGTTTAACGTATAAAACAAAAGAATTAATTTTTTTTCGCGAGTCTTATCTTACAGCTTCCAAGTGGAATGACAATACTCGTTGAGGGTTACCGCCATAAGCATATTTCAATTCGACAGATTGTACAAATACAACGTTGTGCGAATACAGCGCATTTTGTCCGACGTTATGTTTTACATACAAATCGAGAGTAAAATCAATTGACCACTTTGTCAAGCAGTTTTGGTGTGACTTTCTACCAGCAATTTCACAAAACAGGACCAACAAATTACTATTTTTTTATGAAACACACAAATTTCGGCTACTTTTCTCGTTATTCTAGAAGAAATTTTTTTTTATTCTTCTATTACGAAGTTCAAGTGGTAGTAAACGTCATTTTAACTGCTCGAATGGAATTTTCGGTTTTCTACTTTGCCGTATACGTTACTATACGAATGAATTGTATTGGTAGAAAAATATTTCGTTTGTTATAAAACCGCTTTAAAGCAGTCAAGCTGTACTTATACCTGTCATTAAAACTGGTATAATGCTAACTATATTTTCCGTGTAAAAAGCGTACTTTCCACCGCTAGGTGGCTTTCTAAAGTACATTGATTTTTTTTTCACTTTTCGAAGCAGAGATGAGCTTCCTTTCTTTGTAAACTTAGCTTCGTGGTGTAGACAGGTGCAGGAAATACTCACAGCATTTTTCCTTGGAATCCGAACCCAATGTGAAGCTCAATGGAGTAAACAAAAAAGTCAACCTTAGAAATGATTGATAAAACATCAATGCTCGACAGTGATGCCGTTTTATATTATGTTGATTGTATCCTACTTGTCAACGTTTGTCCTAAAGAGCCGAATAGTGTGCCATGCTGTTTCGGCACAGTAGTGTGTAGAGTTGATTACCCTTTGACTAAAACACATAAATACGTGATGGTCTTCGGTGACAGTGTCGTATGACAGAGACTGATATATGACATTTTACTTTGGCACTGTACTTGTTTTGCAAGTGTCGGAAGCAGTCTTGTAAACGGTCACGGTAGTCGACACATTTTCTGTGATAATCGACTGCTTTTACCTCCGACACTTGCAAAACAAGCTATCATAGTACAGTACCAAACTAAAATGTCATGGGAAATTTATTGACCCTATAACATAATAAAAAGGGAAGCGAGTGAGTTATACCCCGTTCATGCTCATTGCAAGACAGTGTATATCACGTGATATACGCTGTAATGTGAACGGGGTATTAGCTTTACGTAATTTTGAGTGAGGGAGTCTTGTTAAGCTTTACTTATTGTTACATCCGGCTTTTTTACGGTACGTAATTTATGAATCACGCCTATATCATAAAGCGTAAAAGCTTGATGTTTTTTCCATGATACTGCCATTTAGAACCAGAAAAATGTCGGACTTTCTTTCCAAGTGACCCACTCCCGTCCCGTTCTCAGCATGCACTGGGCTGCGAATAATTTATTCATTTGAAATTCATGCTACTTTGCTTATTAGCCTAGAATATAATTTTCTCACCTTCTCTTACCACTAGTCTTAAATTTTCCCGTCGCACGCAACTCGTGTAAGTGTGTTTTTTTGTATGAAATAACCAACTTCACGTAAATTTACGGATAAATATGAAAACTTCCAAAACAATTTACATAACTTTTGTTCATCGTACCGTCCCGCTGGGTAGAAAAGGTACAAAATCTGTCAACACTTACTTGTTTCTTTTATCGAACTTTCGTAATCACTAAACAGTAATTGACTATCGTATATAGCAGTAATACAATTGCTTTTGTATATATGATTGTGTATAAATAACTCGCAAATTTCAATAACATAGGTTATGTTACAACGATTGAGATTCACCGTCCAGAATAGAACTATATACACTCATACGTGAGAAAAAAAAAACAAAATACTAGACTTTGAAGCCTTACTCTCGATTTCCCGATCACAACGCCCCCGCGTCCAAAAAATCGACAGTTGTAGTTTCAGTCCTAGATCAGACTCTTGTTGACGAGCTTTGCACTCTGATTCTTGCACTATTATAATAAAAAAAAATGCTCTCTCTCTCTCTCTTTCCTCTACTGCTACGTATAAAACAAAACAACAAACAGAAATTACCGGTTGCAGCTATAGTTACCGTAATTAACTATTCGAACCCGGAACGTCCGTCGTCGTCGTGCTCGGGGGCGTCGAAGGATCATCGCCCTTGCAGTCGCAGTTGTTGTTGTTGAGGCAGCTGGCAGCACTGCTGCCCACTTCTGCCGTCGGCGAAGAACTCAGCTCCAGCGCGTTCAGTCCAACTACCAAAGAAGGCTGTGCTTCCTGTGTCAACAACGGGACGCCCGTGTCACTCGATGGACTTCTGTTATTGTTGTTGTTGTTATTGTTTTTGTTGTTATTATTGCTGATGTCGTCCTCCAGATCCGGCAACGAAAGCCTCGGTATCCGCTCGGAAAGGGCTGCCTGGTGCGCGTCGTGCACCTCTTGGAAGATGTCGATCAGATTGTTGATGCCGATCATGTAGCCATCCTCGTGGTTGCCGACCTTCCACTTGTTCTCGTGGGTGATGTCCACCTTTTCCGGCAGGTTAACCGTTTTGGCGAAATCGATCAACCACACGCTGGCGTTGTGGCGATCGTGGACGAACAGCAGCGACGATCCGATCACTTCGTGACGTTTGAAGAAGTCCGAATAGCTGAGCGTCGCGCGGATCGCCTTCAACCGTTGGATGTATTTGGGCTGCAAATGTTGAAGGGAAATATTATCAGATCGAGATCAAGAATTGGAGGGGGGGGGGGGCGCTTACCATTGTATGAGGGAATCCTTCGGTGAATTCCCGGAAAGCCTCGCTTATCTGGTCCCGGGACTTGGTCGTTTTGAAGTCCTTGGAACTGGTGCCGTCACTTTTTTTAATGCCCTGAAATGAAGCGATGAGAATTGTATTTCATTATCACCACTTGTTGATGAAAGTCTGCTATTGAAAGATGATAATGGAGATAATGAGTTGCTTATTTTTAGAAAGCCATTGGTGAGAGCGAACTAGAATTGAGCACTTCAATCGATTCGGTCTGAAGGTCAAGTTTATTTTCTTTGATGATGTAAAAGGGAATCGAACGGCGCCCAGACGACTTCGACTGATCAGATAGTGGTTTGATTCGATTCAATGCATCGGATTCAGTGGCGACCATTCTGGTCACTGATTAGACCATAAACCTAGTTTGGTCACTATCGATTTGATCATTTAGCCCCTTGTTGAATTATAGTTTTATTTTGGTCGCTGCTGGTGAGATTATTTTGCTTAACCATCAGGCCATTGGCACCTAGTAAGGTAATTTTGGTCACTGATGAGACCGTCTATCTCATCATCATGATGTTAAGATTGGTCACTATCGGTGAGACAATCTTGGTTACTTGTTGGACCCAATTTGGTCACAAATGGAATCATGTTGGTCACTAGCGGAGCCTAACGGCTCAAGCGCAATGACAGCGGAAGTGGCAACCGAAAAGCCAGATCTGAGTAAACCTTTTGTTTTGTTGTTTATTAATTTATTTGATATTCCATTGCAGCAATGGACGCAAAACGTGGTCAGCACTCACACACTTATCAATAAACGGTTGCTCTCCAAAGTCAACGACGCATCGGCCGAAAGAACTGCTGATGAAGAACAATAAGGAGGACCACACAATGCACGGATGGATTTGAGTTCACTCACTCGACAAAAAGTGACACAACAGCGGGGCCCTGTTTACTAAAAATGAACACATGAATAATACTCACGTAACATTTGAAACCGGCCTATCAACTTTCGTACACAAAACTTGTTAAGCCTTTTTCGCGCGAACCGAATACGACCACGCAAACTAACATCACCATCGGGTAGGGGAAATTCCCCTCTTTCCGACAGTGCTCTTGGTTTGCGTGGACGTACTTCGGTTCTCGTGGAAAGGACCTAGCAAATTATTTACAAAAATTGATATGCCCTTTTCAAATGTTACGTGAGCATTATTCATGTGTTCATTTTTAGTAAACAGGGCCCCGCTGTTGTGTCACTTTTTGTTCAGTAGATGAACAAAAGTTCACCCGTGCACTCGTCAATGCCGAGAAAACAGACACACATCGAGAGTGGCCTACTTTTGTCGACAGCCGAGTGAACACTCATGAGTAAGCCTACTCCTGGGATTGAAAACTAGTTAAAACCAAATCGACTTCGGCTAGGCATCTTGAGTCATTTGTAACAACTGTCAAACTTTTCGTTTCCGTTCCGCTTCCGCTCACATTGCGTTTGGGCCTTTACTGGTAGTGAAGGTTATTCTTAGAGAGGGTCCAGTATAAGAGGGGAGCGGATTCAAAACAAACTGCCTTGGCAACCTATGCCGAGGTGATTTCTAGCAACACTGCCAATGCAATCAAGATAGGTGCTGCTCAATTGGCTCTGGATTTTACAGTTCATTTGGCTCAAAACCACCCAGTCCGCTACTCTCATATACTAGACCCTCTCTAGTTATTCTGGTAATAAAACGGATACGGTGCGGCCATTTCCACTCTTGTTTAGTTCATTTCGACTTCTGATAAGAAGAAGTATCATTGCGCCAAAATTCGGACAGTTAGTCCATAAATTTGGACACTTTTAAAAGTTTATTGCTTAGGCCAAATGTGATTCAAATGTCCTATAGTGTCATCTATGTTCAATCTAATATAATTATAGGGTTGCCAAGTGGATTTCCGCTGTGTTCAATTTGGTGAATTTTCCCTTGAATTTGACAGATAGAAAATTTTCCAATAAACCTGCTATTGCACTAGACTTATTTATGACAGACCAGGAATTTTGACAAACACACTCTCGGAAATCGGACGATCAACAACAGAGGGATTTTCGAACATTATAATTTATTTTCGAAGTGTCAAATTTAAGTGAAAATTCCAAGGGGTAGGTCACTCCGCACACCATTATTGGGTCATCTTATTTGTCAGTGTGCCGCAAGTGTACCGATTGTGCCGGTCATAGAGTAAGTTGCGATTGTTTGTAAAATACCCATCCTGGAAACCCGGTATTTCTGACACCTTGAATGTTTTGGTTTGAAATCACAAGGATAAATCGGATCACACGGATGATGCGGGAAGTGGCGTGTGTTTCTAAATTTTGTGTTCATAGGATGATAAAAGTCCTGAGTTTTAGGGTTTTATAATGCCCTCTAAGGCAGACCAGAAACCTACCGTGTTACCTGACTTATAACGAATATACGTTGTATACGAGTACCCCGAATACAACGTATAGTTCGTCTAATTTTACATTGAAAATGCTATGCCAAAATTAGACGAGTCATACGTTGTATTCGGGGTACTCGTATACAACGTATATTCGTTATAAGTCAGGTAGCACAGTAGCTTTTCGTGAGGATGATTAATAGACTTCTGTAGTTTGTTTTGTGTAAGTTGCAGCATTATTTGGATTAAGGGTACTAATGGGGTCTGATTAGCTGCCTCTTTCTCTTGAGCCCACTCTAGAACCTACATTTCGTATTTAGATTTATAAGTGAACCACTGGGGGCCTCCCTTAGCTCAGTCGGTAAAGGGGCAGCTACAAAGCAAGACCATGCTGGAGGTGGCTGGGTTCAATTCCCGGTCCGGTCTAGGAATTTTTCGGGTTGGAAAATTTCTCGACTTCCCTGGGCATAGAAGTATGATTGGACTTGCCACACAATTATACCAATGCAAAAATGGTACAGGCATCGAAAGCTCTCAATTAATAACTGTGGAAGTGCATCTAGAACACTAAGTTGAGAGCACGCAATAAGCTAATATGCGATATGCAATAAGCTTGAAATGCGAAGAAGAAGAAGAAGAAGTGAACCACTGGTCTGAGTTCCTCTGGTATATTCAATTAGAGAATGTTCCTGAATATACAGTCAAACAGCACGTAATGTTGTGAACAACTTCAATGACAGTTGTCCAGCAGTGCTCCCGTTTCATATACAACAATCCATTTCCTACGAGTTTGTGCCGAAGGTGTGCCGATGGATGTGCCCAAGCTGTACCTAGCTGGCACAATGTGCCGAGTGGCTTACCCCTTGGAAAATTCACTAAATGGAACACAGCCTCAATGTTTAATTAAAAACGAAATTTGGATCCCTTTTAGACACATTTGACCTCTTGTTAGACCTCAATTTTGGTGAGATAATTTTTAACATTGATTTGGAAGACTGTTCTGATCACTGAACAATCATTTTGATCATTCGAAGTACGCGTCCCAACAAACATTGGAAGCAGAATAAGAGCTTTTCAGGCAAAAATATGCTTCTACAGCTAAAAAATGGCTTATCCAGCTTTCAATCAGCTCAAATTGTTTGTTGGGGTAACTGTCACGATAAAAAAAAATTAAGTGGGACCAAAAGAGGACCATCGACTCCTCGTAGCTCACTCTTTTTTGGTCACTGCTATGACAATTTTGGTCATTATTGTGAGTGACACATGGCTAAGAGACCGTTATGTTATGAATTAATCGATTTTAACCTCCACTTAATACATTTCCGTTCGTGTCAAGGGGTTTTCAACTCTGCACATCCCAATCTGTGCCGAGTACTTTATCTGTGCCGAAAGCTAGGTCAAGCGTTTTGCTGCACGAGCCGATGTGTGGCAATCAAGCTATCAGTCTCAGTAACCCATGAGTTTGGCAACCCTGCACTTATGACTTTTGAGATTGTGTATTTACATTTTCAAGTCAAGGACGGAAAAAAATCGTGATAATATTCAACGAGCTAGTTGTCAGTCATCCGCTTCAAGGAAGTGGCACCGTGCGTCATTCTGGCAGACGTTTGCCAAAACCAAGTACCCAACCGGCAAGTGGAACATGAATCTTGTCTGCAATATCATCATGCTACTTGGGCAATGCTACAATCTGAAAAATAGGAAGGACTCGACCTAAAATGCCCACCGTCGGTAGTAGTAGCAGCAATAGACCTGCAGCAGCTTCACAGTGTCATCAGTCATGGTTAGGTACTAAATTCGTCTGACTGCCTCCCCCCTCCCCTTTTTTGGGGGGTCAAACTACTTCGTCCATGGTTTATCCAAATGTCTGTCCAGGATCTCGATACTGGTTGCAGTCGTTTGATGATTACCTCCTCCTTGTATCTGCCTGTTGTTCCTTCTTGGTCATGCCAGAATCGCATATTAATCTCCCTGAAACTGCTGCCGGTTCCGATTGCGTTCATTATGACCGCGATTCAGATTGGCTCTGTTACCTCCGGTGTGGTTACCTTCACAATTCTGTTAGCAGCATCTTTCTTAATGTTGCTGTTGCCATCGGTGATACGAACAGCTGCGAAAAAGCGTAAAGAGACCTCCACAGTCAATCGAATCCGAGTTCAGTCCATAGAATAAGCTGTACGGCTGACTGATTAGTAAAGCATCAATCGTACCGGGTGGTTCTGCGGGAGATACAGCTGCGATTGCAGATACATCTGAAGAATAGTAGGATCGTTCGGCACCGGGCTGTTGTTGACATCGTATATTATCGCTGCAATGCTCCTTACCCATACAATTGACTCTCGGTCCGGATCCTATGGCCATCGAGTTAATACTGAATTCTAGTTAATTCTAGCCTATTCTGTGGGGCGTGGTGACTCTCACTAGTTCGTTCGGACTTCCCTGAAACTATGGACATCTCTCAAAAGCCATGTGGACTTTCTGTAGAGGTTCATCCCCCAGATGGCATAAGGACAAATAGAGTCTCGTCAAGTATACAATCTCTTGTCATGATTGGGGAAAATTTCGCTGGAAAATGGCACAGACAACAAAAAAAAATCACTTTCCCCTTACTTTGAAGTAAACGAAGAAGTAAACCTTAGCCAATCGTTGGGCTAAATGTCATCAATAAACAGTGATGCTATTTTATATTAAATTTTGTGTCGTACTTGTCA